GTGAAAGAACAAAATTAAATTTGTACGGCCTAAGGGAACTCATTTCCTCAACTTACCTTAGTGCCTTGCCTAGGCGAACCATAGTTCTAGGTTACCCTCATATGAGCCGACCGTCGCATGGGCTGACATCGAACAGAATCGACCCCTCTTTCATTTCAAGAGGGTCTCGATACGGCCACCACCAGTTTTCAAAGAGCTTTGGCCTCCCTCTCTCACCAACCTCACCAGCCCTAGCCTCCTCACTTCCTCTATAGTTGTTTTTATAGTTTTGATTCTGAGACCATGCCACAACTCCAACCCTGTCCCAAATTTCCTTCAAAACTGCTGTTGAGCGGGGCAGGGCAAAGGGGGGGGAGGCGGGTCGAGCGAGGGAATCAACACTAGGGAGGAGAGAGCTGCTCTAATTTCGCCTTTTCACGAATTTCCTACCAAATTCCCAAATACGACCTTCGAAGCAGATGAAGTGAGCGACTGGTACGATTGACCAACATGCTAGCTTGGTTTTAATGCGGTTTATAAAAATTTTCTCTATGAGTTTGTACCGAATTGGCTTGGTAGAACGAGGAGGAGGTTAAGTATTAGCCGACCTCGAAGTACTTCCATACGCAATACAGTGCATGATTAATTCGTTCGGGAAGTGAAACCGAAGATCGCGGCATGGCGCATACCATAGCTGAACCGTAACTCTCGGAGTTCGTGTTTTCGTTCGACACTCTTCTGTAATAAGTATTTGATTTCAGACCTTCTTCTCGGTGATGATGGGCTCTTTGGCTCTCGGTCAAGCTGGGCCACAATTTGCCGTCCTCGGAGCCAGCACAAGGAGCCGCTGCCAGCATTTTTGAAGTGTTGGATAGGGTCAGGTGCACTACTTGAGTTTTATGAAAAAGTCTCAATGCTCAAATCAGTCTGCCGTGTTTAGGAACCAGAAATCGATTCGACCAGCAGTAAAGGTCGGCGAGACATGCGAATCAAGGGCAATATCGAGGTGAAGAACGTTATCTTCAACTATCCTTCTAGGCCAGACATACAAGTAAGTTGACCTTTCTAGAATAGCTTTTAAATCGATTTCAGATGAATATGATAGCTTTCTTACTGGGCACCTCCACTTATGGAGTGCGCTAAAAATGAGGGCGATTTTTGGCTGACAGGAGCTAATTGGACGCCGAAGTGTGACGCCATCCTTGAAGACTATGACTGTCAATTACACAGTTTTCTGGAGTGCACTTACTCCTGTTGAGATGAGGGGTGGTCTCGTTGTTTCGAAAGTCCTGCTGAACAATCTGCACCTCTCTCTCGCGGCCTGCTTTGCTCTGCTCTGGGGTCCCTGACTGTTCGTAAGGGGCTAGTACGTTGCCAGCAAACCTGTAATTTCACACTCTAGGCCAGCTCCGGAAGTGGAAGACCTTATTCATCTACCCCGTTTATAATTTAGTTTCATTTCCGTCGATTATCTTTGATTTTTAACTT